GGACTGGACACACACCACCTGGGACAGTGGGTGTAGCACTGGACACACACACCCTGGGACAGTGGGTGTAGTACTGGACACACACACCACCTGGGACAGTGGGTGTAGGACTGGACACACACACCCTGGGACAGTGGGTGTAGCACTGGACACACACACCCTGGGACAGTGGGTGTAGTACTGGACACACACACCCTGGGACAGTGGGTGTAGCACTGGACACACACCACCTGGGACAGTGGGTGTAGTGCTGGACACACACCACCTGGGACAGTGGGTGTAGTACTGGACACACATACCCTGGGACAGTGGGTGTAGCACTGGACACACACCACCTGGGACAGTGGGTGTAGTACTGGACACACACACCACCTGGGACAGTGGGTGTAGTACTGGACACACACCACCTGGGACAGTGGGTGTAGTACTGGACACACACCACCTGGGACAGTGGGTGTAGTACTGGACACACACCACCTGGGACAGTGGGTGTAGTATTGGACACACACACCCTGGGACAGTGGGTGTAGTATTGGACACACACACCCTGGGACAGTGGGTGTAGTGCTGGACACACACCACCTGGGACAGTGGGTGTAGTACTGGACACACACCACCTGGGACAGTGGGTGTAGTACTGGACACACACCACCTGGGACAGTGGGTGTAGTATTGGACACACACACCCTGGGACAGTGGGTGTAGTATTGGACACACACACCCTGGGACAGTGGGTGTAGTACTGGACACACACACCCTGGGACAGTGGGTGTAGTACTGGACACACACCCTGGGACAGTGGGTGTAGTGCTGGACACACACGCCCTGGGACAGTGGGTGTAGTACTGGACACACACCCTGGGACAGTGGGTGTAGTACTGGACACACACGCCCTGAGACAGTGGGTGTAGTACTGGACACACACCCTGGGACAGTGGGTGTAGTACTGGACACACACCACCTGGGACAGTGGGTGTAGTGCTGGACACACACACCCTGGGACAGTGGGTGTAGTACTGGACACACACACCCTGGGACAGTGGGTGTAGGACTGGACACACACCACCTGGGACAGTGGGTGTAGTACTGGACACACACCCTAGGACAGTGGGTGTAGTATTGGACACACACCCTGGGACAATGGGTGTAGTACTGGACACACACCACCTGGGACAGTGGGTGTAGTACTGGACACACACCACCTGGGACAGTGGGTGTAGTACTGGACACACACCACCTGGGACAATGGGTGTAGTACTGGACACACACCACCTGGGACAGTGGGTGTAGTACTGGACACACACACCCTGGGACAGTGGGTGTAGTACTGGACACACACACACCCTGGGACAGTGGGTGTAGTACTGGACACACACACCCTGGGACAGTGGGTGTAGTACTGGACACACACCACCTGGGACAGTGGGTGTAGTACTGGACACACACCCTGGGACAGTGGGTGTAGTACTGGACACACACACCCTGGGACAGTGGGTGTAGTACTGGACACACACACACCCTGGGACAGTGGGTGTAGGACTGGACACACACACCCTGGGACAGTGGGTGTAGTACTGGACACACACACCCTGGGACAGTGGGTGTAGTACTGGACACACACACCCTGGGACAGTGGGTGTTGGACTGGACACACACACACACCCTGGGACAGTGGGTGTAGTACTGGACACACACCACCTGGGACAGTGGGTGTAGTACTGGACACACACACTAGGACAGTGGGTGTAGTACTGGACACACACACCCTGGGACAGTGGGTGTAGTATTGGACACACACACCCTGGGACAGTGGTGGAGTACTGGACACACACACCCTGGGACAGTGGGTGTTGGACTGGACACACACACACACCCTGGGACAGTGGGTGTAGTACTGGACACACACCACCTGGGACAGTGGGTGTAGTACTGGACACACACTAGGACAGTGGGTGTAGTACTGGACACACACACCCTGGGACAGTGGGTGTAGTATTGGACACACACACCCTGGGACAGTGGGTGTAGTACTGGACACACACGCCCTGGGACAGTGGGTGTAGTACTGGACACACACACCCTGGGACAGTGGGTGTAGGACTGGACACACACACCCTGGGACAGTGGGTGTAGTACTGGACACACACACCCTGGGACAGTGGGTGTAGTACTGGACACACACACCCTGGGACAGTGGGTGTAGTACTGGACACACACGCCCTGGGACAATGGGTGTAGTACTGGACACACACACCCTGGGACAGTGGGTGTAGTACTGGACACACACACCCTGGGACAGTGGGTGTAGTACTGGACACACACGCCCTGGGACAATGGGTGTAGTACTGGACACACACACCACCTGGGACAGTGTGTGTAGTACTGGACACACACACCCTGGGACAGTGGGTGTAGTACTGGACACACACACCCTGGGACAGTGGGTGTAGTACTGGACACACACCACCTGGGACAGTGGGTGTAGTACTGGACACACCCTGGGACAGTGGGTGTAGTACTGGACACACACACCCTGGGACCGTGGGTGTATAGTACTTGACACACACCACCTGCGACAGTGGGTGTAGTACTGGACACACCCTGGGACCGTGGGTGTTGCACTGGACACACACACACCCTGGGACAATGGGTGTAGTACTTGACACACCCTGGGACAGTGGGTGTAGTATTGGACACACACACCCTGGGGCAGTGGGTGTAGTACTGTACACACACACCACCTGCGACAGTGGGTGTAGTACTGGACACACATCACCTGGGACAGTGGGTGTCGTACTGGACACACACACCCTGGGACAATGGGTGTAGTACTGGACACACACACCCTGGCACAGTAGGTGTAGGACTGGACACACACACCACCTGCGACAGTGGGTGTAGTACTGGACACACACCACCTGGGACAGTGGGTGTAGGACTGGACACACACACACCCTGGGACAATGGGTGTAGTACTGGACACACACACCCTGGGACATTGGGTGTTGTACTGGACACACACCCTGCGACAGTGGGTGTAGTACTGGACACACACCACCTGGGACAGTGGGTGTAGCACTGGACACACACACCCTGGGACAGTGGGTGTAGTACTGGACACACACACACGCCCTGGGACAGTGGGTGTAGTACTGGACACACACACCCTGGGACAGTGGGTGTAGCACTGGACACACACACCCTGGGACAGTGGGTGTAGTACTGGACACACACACACGCCCTGGGACAGTGGGTGTAGTACTGGACACACACACCCTGGGACAGTGGGTGTAGCACTGGACACACACACACCCTGGGACAGTGGGTGTAGCACTGGACACACACACCACCTAATATTCATCGCGGCAAAGAAACGGAGACAGGCAGATAATTAGGGAGTCCCAAGAGTCCCTCAGGGGGTCAAGCACCGGTCCCACCCTCCACAGAGAACACTGGGTAGCAAAACTTCACCCCAACTAAAACGTAAAAGTCATCCCAGTAGAGCAGAAGCCGGGCGCCCACCACCCCGCACGCAGAACCAACCAGAACACGTGACCCAAGGCGATATGTGCGCCAGGCGTCGTACAACCGGACCGTTCAATAGGGATGCCAAACGGCAGTAGCAAAGCCAAATCACCAAAACAGGACGTGAACCCGGGGCTCCCAGGCAGAGGTGGTGTCCAGATGTCCGCTCGTCGTCAAGGTTGAACCAGGAGTCCCATCCGAGGTGTGTTGTTGTTGTTGATTTAGGGGCGACGACGATCGTGGGATCGGATGCCCCCCCGGCGTACCCGTTAAGGGTGAATCGCGAAGCCTGGAGAGGTGGAACGCCAAGCCAAATCGCAAAACGAGTGACGCCAATCACTAGAAACTAATATGCCATACGGCAAATAAACGCAGTCAGGCAGATGATTGGGGAGCTCCAGGAGTCCCTCAGGGTGACAAGCACCGGCCCCGCTCCACACAGAGAACACCAGGTAGGAAAACCAAAATTCGGCCACCAACTAAAACGCAAAAAGTCATCCAGTGTCCCCCGGCAGAGCAGAAGCCGGCCGCCCACCACGACTGAAGGCACACTAGGAGCCCACCAAGACCCGCCATCCCCCGGCACCTCTAGGCCAAGATAGCCCCCGAACACCGTCACCTCGCCGGGAGAACCACCAGTACACGTCAAAAAGAAATCTATCAACAATCCTGTGACCCAAGGCGATATGTGCGCCTGGCGTCGTACAAGCGGACCGCTGAAAAGGGATACCAAATGGCCGTAGCGAAGCCAAAACGCGAAAACAAGAGGTGATCAGGCGGCTTCCAGGCGGAGGAGGTGTACAGACGTCCGCTCGGCCTCAAGGTTGAACCAGGAGTCCATCCGAGGTGTGTTCTTGGGAACAAAAAGCCCAATATAAAGAGAGCTTCAAAATCTCCCAAACCACCCAAGGCAAAGAAAGCTGTCAAGAAAACAAAGGCAAAATAAACGACGACATGCAAGCAGCATGAATACACATGACAACAAACATCCAGGCCTATATGTGGTGATATATAATATATGTGGTGATGGAGTGTTGTTTACTGTCGCTGCAGCGTCTGGACACAAGGGGAATCCACCCCAAGGCGGCTATAGTTACCCGACCTGATTTAAGGATTAATGTATACTATCATTAAACAAACATATATGGTTTAACAATTATTTATTGTGTATACGTATTTATTTTAGAGTATTACTATGATATGCTTATAGCTATTAGATGTAATTACATATCCTGGCATGGAAGCAATACAGATGCTTCCCTGGCATGGTGTGGGCTCTAACTGGTGGAAATATTCTGACCTGACACAGTCTTGGGAGAGCTTGACTTGTTCTATAAATAGTAGCCTTGATCATGTAACATAGACCATGTTACTCAGATGTGTTATACTGTACTTTTGGTGGAAATTTTCCACACTTGTTGTGTTGGATGTTATTGTTGTGGTGGTGGTGGTGACTGACGAGTCAACACTTGCAGGTGGCGGTGTGGGTGTGTGTGATGGCAACAACCATCGCGCCATCTCCAGGGGACCATCAGGAGGACGGAGCCGTCATGGAGGAGCTGGCAGGAGACGTCAGCGTGGAGGGCAGTGTGGAGGTGCGCAGTGACCCCGGCGAGGATGCAGGGGCGTCTCCCTGCCCAGCCTCCTGCTTCTGCGAGGAAGAGGTGAGATAAACTCACCTTGACCGAACACCTTCAATTACTATTGCTAACTGCAATACAAGAACAGTTAATTACGCCAATTTGGCGAGGTTCTGTTTTTCCTGGGAGCCTGGGCCTCCCAGGGTGACTGGCCCTCCCAGGGTGACTGGCCCTCCCAGGGTAGCTGGGCCTCCCAGGGTGGCTGGGCCTCCCAGGGTGCCTGGGTCTCCCAGGGTGCCTGGGTCTCCCAGGGTGCCTGGCCCTCCCAGGGTAGCTAGGACTCCCAGGGTGGCTGGGCCTACCAGAGTGCCTGGGTCTCCCAGGGTGCCTGGGTCTCCCAGGGTGCCTGGGTCTCCCAGGGTGCCAGGGCCTCCCAGGGTGCCTGGCCCTCCCAGGGTGGCTAGGACTCCCAGGGTGCCTGGGCCTCCCAGAGTGCCTGGGTCTCCCAGGGTGCCTGGGTCTCCCAGGGTGCCAGGGCCTCCCAGGGTGCCTGGCCCTCCCAGGGTGCCAGGGCCTCCCAGGGTGCCAGGGCCTCCCAGGGTGCCTGGCCCTCCCAGGGTGCCAGGGCCTCCCAGGGTGCCAGGGCCTCCTAGGGTGCCTGGGCCTCCTACACAGTAATGTTCTCTTGGTTTTCAAGAAGCACTCACAGTCTCACACTCACTCATAATCATCTCAGGAAATCTGGAAAATATGATTTTTTGTTGAAGCAGGATTTACGACAGCTTGTGGAAGTGAGTTCACCCAGCATGTGCGTGTGAGCAGGGTGTGTATGTGTGCGTGTGAGCACCGTGTGTACGTGTGCGTGTGAGCAGCGTGTGTACATGTGCGTGTGAGCCGGGTGTACGTGTGCGTGTGAGCACCGTGTGTATGTGTGCGTGTGAGCACCGTGTGTACGTGTGCGTGTGAGCAGGGTGTGTATGTGTGCGTGTGAGCACCGTGTGTACGTGTGCGTGTGAGCAGCGTGTGTACGTGTGCGTGTGAGCCGGGTGTACGTGTGCGTGTGAGCACCGTGTGTATGTGTGCGTGTGAGCACCGTGTGTACGTGTGCGTGTGAGCACCGTGTGTATGTGTGCATGTGAGCACCGTGTGTACGTGTGCGTGTGAGCACCGTGTGTACGTGTGCGTGTGAGCACCGTGTGTATGTGTGCGTGTGAGCACCGTGTGTACGTGTGCGTGTGAGCACCGTGTGTATGTGTGCGTGTGAGCACCGTGTGTATGTGTGCGTGTGAGCAGGGTGTGTATGTGTGCGTGTGAGCACCGTGTGTACGTGTGCGTGTGAGCACCGACTGTACGTGTGCGTGTGAGCACCGTGTGTACGTGTGCGTGTGAGCACCGTGTGTACGTGTGCGTGTGAGCACCGTGTGTACGTGTGCGTGTGAGCACCGTGTGTACGTGTGCGTGTGAGCATCGTGTGTGCGTGTGAGTAGGGTGTGTACGTGTGCTTGTGAGCAGGGTGTGTATGTGTGCGTGTGAGCAGGGTGTGTACGTGTGCGTGTGAGCAGGGTGTGTACGTGTGCGTGTGAGCACCGTGTGTATGTGTGCGTGTGAGCAGGGTGTGTATGTGTGCGTGTGAGCAGGGTGTGTATGTGTGCGTGTGAGCAGGGTGTGTATGTGTGCGTGTGAACCGGGTGTGTATGTGTGCGTGTGAACCGGGTGTGTATGTGTGCGTGTGAGCACCGTGTGTACGTGTGCGTGTGAGCACCGTGTGTACGTGTGCGTCTGAGCACCGTGTGTACGTGTGCGTGTGAGCACCGTGTGTACGTGTACGAGTGAGCAGGGTGTGTACGTGTGCGAGTGAGCAGGGTGTGTACGTGTGAGCACCGTGTGTACATGTGCGTGTGAGCCGGGTGTAGTCACCTATTTGAGCTTGCAGGATCGAGCTTGGCTCTTGGATCCCGCCTTTCTAGCCATCGGTTGTTTAAAGCAATGACTCCTGTCCCATTTCCCTATCATACCTAATTTTAAAATTATGACTAGAGTTTGCTTCCACAACCTGTTCCCCAAGTGCATTCCATTTTTCCACTACTCTCACGCTAAAAGAAAACTTCCTAACATCTCTGTGACTCATCTGAGTTTCCAGTTTCCACCCATGTCCCCTCGTTCTGTTATTATTACGTGTGAACATTTCATCTATTTCCACTTTGTCAATTCCCCTGAGTATTTTATATGTTCCTATCATATCTCCTCTCTCCCTTCTTTTCTCTAGTGTCGTAAGGTTCAGTTCCCTCAGACGTTCTTCATATCCCATCTCTCGTAACTCTGGGACAAGCCTCGTCGCAAACCTCTGAACCTTCTCTAGTTTCCTTATGTGTTTCTTCAGGTGGGGGCTCCATGATGGCGCGGCATACTTTAAGACTGGTCTCACGTAGGCAGTGTAAAGCGCCCTAAAAGCCTCCTCACTTAGGTTTCTGAATGAAGTTCTAATTTTCGCCAGTGTAGAGTACGCTGTTGTCGTTATCCTATTTATATGTGCCTCAGGAGTTAGATTAGGTGTCACATCTACTCCCAGGTCTCTTTCTCGAATCGTTACAGGTAGGCAGTTCCCCTTCATTGTGTACTGTCCTTTTGGTCGTCTATCACCTGATCCCATTTCCATAACTTTACATTTACTCGTGTTGAACTCCAGTAGCCATTTCCTTGACCATCTCTGCAACCTGTTTAAGTCCTCTTGGAGGATCCTACAATCCTCATCTGTCACAACTCTTCTCATTAATTTTGCGTCATCCGCAAACATTGACATGTATGATTCCACTCCTGTAAACATATCATTTACGTAAATTAGAAAGAGGATTGGGCCCAGCACCGATCCTTGAGGTACTCCACTCGTTACTGTTCGCCAGTCCGACTTTTCGCCCCTTACCATTACCCTCTGGCTCCTTCCTGTTAGGTAGTTCCCTACCCATGCTAGGGCTTTTCTGCTTACTCCTGCCTGCCTCTCAAGTTTGTAAAGAAGTCTCATGTGCAGTACTGTATCAAAGGCCTTTGGGCAGTCAAGAAATATGCAGTCTGCCCAGCCTTCTCTGTCCTGCCTTATTCTTGTTACTTTGTCATAGAATTCTAAAAGGTTTGTTAGGCATGATTTCCCTGTTCAGAACCCATGTTGGTGCTAGTTTACAAACCCAATGCTCTCCAGGTGCTCAACAAATCTTAGCCTAATTATTCTTTCATGTATTTTGCTGGGGATGCTTGTCAGTGATACGGGTCTGTAGTTAAGTGCCTCCTCCCTATCACCTTTCTTGAAAATCGGTACGACATTTGCCTCCTTCCAGCAACTGGGCAATTCTCCCGACCTAAGTGACTCATTAAAGATCATTGCCAGAGGCACGCTGAGAGCCTGCGCGGCCTCTTTCAGTATCCACGGTGATACTTTGTCTGGTCCAACCGCTTTAGTTGCATCCAGTGTTGTCAACTGTTTCATTACCTCCTCTGCTGTCACCTCTATATCTGATAGTCTTTCATCTATGGTAATCTCTTCTAACAATGGGAGCTGCTCAGGCTCGGTTGTGTACACTCCATGGAAACTTGCATTCAGTACCTCACAGATTTCCTTGTCGCTTTCTGTATATGCCCCTTCTGTTTTCCTCAGTCTTGTCACTTGGTCATTTACCGACATCTTCCTTCTTATATGGCTATGTAGTAATTTAGGTTGCTTTTTCGCTTTGATTGCAATATCATTCTCATAATTTCTTTCTGACACTCGTCTTATGTTAATGTAATCGTTCCTAGCTCTGTTACATCTAATCCTGTTGTCCTCTGTCCTTTGTCTTCTGTACTTCCTCCACTCCCTCCTGCTTCTCACTTTTGCTTTCTGACACTGTCTATTAAACCATGGGTTATTATATTCCCTCCTGATTTTTTCCTTTACTGTTGGAATAAATCTCTTCCACTTCCTTGCATTTCCATATGACTTGGTTCATCATATCTTGCACTGTTTTTCCTCTAATTTCTTCCTCCCACTGCACTTCTCCCAAGTAGTCCCTTATCCTTCTGTAGTCCCCTCTTCTGTAATCAAGTCTCCTTACTCGGACCTCTTGTCCTTTGGTCACAATTTTAAGCTCCATCATGTAGTCAAAGACTAGGACACAATGGTCACTGGCTCCTAGTGGTATTTTATGTTCAAAATGCTCGATGTCTTCTACATTCTGGGTGAAAACGAGGTCTAATAGGCTGGGCGTATCCCCTCCTCTTTCCTTAGTGTCTTCCTTCACATGCTGTGTTAGGAAATTCCTGTCAATAACGTCTACTAGCTTCGCTCCCCAAGTCTCCTCCCCGCCATGGGGATTCTTCGTTTCCCAATCTATCTCTCCATGATTTAGGTCCCCCATGACCAGCAGCTTCGCTCTCATTCTATGCGCTATAGTTGCTGCCCTCTGCAGTTCATCTATACACGCCTTGTTGCTGTCCTCATACTCCTGCCTGGGCCTTCTACTGTGTGGTGGGGGAATTGTAGAGTATCAAGATTACAATCTTCTTCCCAGCCACTGTCAGAGTTCTATGTTTGGAGTTCGTGCTTTCATTGGTACCCGGATTTTCCAGCTCATCAAACATCTATTTCTGCTTTATTAGGAGTGCCACTCCTCCTCCCTGTCTCTGTGTCCTTTCTTTTCTTATCACCTGGTACCCCTCTGGAAAGATTGCGTCCGAGATCATGCCATTTATTTTAGTTTCCACTATTGCCACTATGTCTGGGTTTGTCACACTTACTCTTTCTTTTATCTCTTCTGCTTTATTGGATACCCCATCCGGGTGTGTACGTGTGCGTGTGAGCAGGGTGTGTGCGTGTGAGCATCGTGTGTACGTGTGCGTGTGAGCCGGGTGTGTACGTGTGCGTGTGAGCAGCGTGTGTACGTGTGAGCACCGTGTGAACGTGTGCAAGTGAGCATCGTGTGTACGTGTGCGTGTGAGCAGGGTGTGTATGTGTGCGTGTGAGCAGGGTGTGTACGTGTGCATGTGAGCAGGGTGTGTATATGTACGTGTGAGTAGGGTGTGTATGTGTACGTGTGAGCAGGGTGTGTACGTGTGCG